ATGATTCGATACTTAACTTATCTACATCTATCAATAAAAGAAAAGATCTACTAAATATAGAGAATTATAAATATACGATTAAATCAATCAACACTTACAATAAATATCTATATACCCTCTTATTCTTCTTTAATTCTAAGAATTATACTAAATCCAAACTATAAATATTCACACACCCATGATCTTTTCATTCTCCTCTAATTATATTAAGTGTAATCAATCAAACATTAGCACCCAATAGTACTGCTATTATTTTCTTCTGGTACTATGAAGTATAATCAATTATATATGCATACCCATGAGTACTCTCCCTTGGCCCCATGAAGTGCTTATCTTGGAAAATATTATAATTTTTTTTTATATATTTTTTTATACTAACCTTGTTAAGACTCACACAATATATAATATTTCTAACTTAATCACAAAAAATTCCTTTACTCTTAAAATTTTTGTCTTTCAATTTTTTTCTTTCAAATAACATATAGTTAATCTTAAAAAATTCTCAAACAAATCTCTTATTAAATTTTTTTAATGTTTAAGTCAATATTCTCGATACAAATACCCTTATAATTTGTATGTGTATAATCTTAAAATTGAACAAACCTTTTAACCAAAAAAAAAAAAAAAGAAGAAACAAATGAGATTACATAGTTTTCTAAAAAATCCCTAAACATCCTAAAATAATTAAATCCTCAGAATGTAAAATAATTCAATCATCTTAAATAATTAACAATTAATTTTCTAATGAAAAATTAGCAATTAATTATTTTCATGTATCTCAACTACAACCACAAATCATTTTGTGGAAGTTTATATATAAAACTTGAGAAAGCACATTGAAAGAGCGTAGATATTGATGGTAGTAATTAATTTAACTTGTTGACTAAGTTATTATATATAACTAAATTTTCAGATTTTGAAAAAGATAGGATGAAAGAAAAACTTGAGAATTTAGAAAGTATTTTTGTTTTCAAAGTCCTTGAACCAATTGACACGGTAGAACTAAAACCTTGAAGATTTAAAAATTGCTCATTTTTCGAAGTCCTTAAACCTATTGAAACAATAGAAAAAGAATTAGAGAATTTTCTTAGAATCCGAGAAAATTCTTTTATTATACCAAATTCATAATATTTTGTCTTAGTCATGTCATTCAAAGGGAAAAAATTAGCAATATCAAAAGAACCCATTTTGCATTTTTTTTTTATCAATTATGAACTTTGCATAAGATATGCTATGTAGAAACTCTCCAATCTTCCTTTTTTTTTTTTTAATGCTTTTGATTTTATAGGTTTGGAATAAGTCCCAAAAAAAATTAAAAATACAGTTGCTATAAAAGATATAATTAAATTAAATTTAGTTTTATATTTAAATCTAATGGAATTGCAAATACCAATTATCAATAAAAAAAAAAGAAAAAACTAATTGACTAGGAATTTAGGTTCTGATATGAAAAATTACAATTATAATTAAATAGTATTTTGGTATAAAAATTTACTAAATTAAGTCAATAAATTGAAACGAATTAAAAACAAAAAATTGCAAGTTTCTTGTTGGTTGAGATGGAATGGACATCAGGCAGAAGGAATAAGACAAAAAACTAAAAATTTTGAGGATAAATTATGAGAATTATTGACTTTTAACATAATTTAAGACAACATCATTGAAGAAAAAAAATCTAAATTTTGAATTCCAAACTTCCTTGAAACCAATTGGAGTGATCTAACGAAATGTCTTATAAAATTGACAACTTTTTAATTCTTTAGGAAAACTCCTCGTAATTCCAAATTTCTTTTTCTTTTCAAAGTTTTGTAAACCAATTGAAACGCAAAGAGATTAAAAAATCAAGGCTCAAACGAAATTTTAAAAAATTAAAAATTTTATTCATAAGATCAAGTTGTTAGGCATAAAAATACAATCAATTAATAAATTATTCAAGCAAGCATAAGTATGCTCAAACCATAAATCATCATTCATATAAACTATAATAATTTAATGTGATTTGACACTTAACTTGTCCACATACATCCATAGACTAAAGAAAAACTTGTCCATATCCATAAATAAAAGAAAAATCTATTAGATGTAGAGATTTACAAATATATAATTAAATCAACTAATACTCATAATCAATACCTATAGACTTTCTTATTCTCCTTTAATCTTATGAATTCTCAACCCAAATAATAAACATTCACACACACCTATAGATCTTTTTATTCTACTATAGTCTTATGAAATGTAATCATTTAAACATGTGCATCCATTAGTACTCCTATTATTCTCCCCTAGTCTTATGAAACATAATCAATTAAATATGCACACCCATGAGTATTCTCCCATAGCCTCATGAATTATTTATCCGGTAAAACTCCTTCAACTCTTTTATATTTTTTTATCCGATCAAAAATTCCTAAACATCTTAAAATAATTAAATCACAAGAATGTATAATAATTCAATCATCTTAAATAATTAACAATTAATTTTTTAATAAAAAATTAGTAATTAACTATTTTCATGTATCTCAGCTACAGCCACAAATTATTTTGTGGAGGTTTATTTATAAGACTTGAGAAAACACATTGAAAGAGTATAGATGTTGATGGTAGTAATTAATTTAACTTGTTGACTAAGTAATTATAGATAATTAAATTTCCAATTTTTGAAAAGAATAGGATGAAGGAAAAACTTGAGAATTTGAAAATTGCTTTTGTTTTCAAAGTCTTTGAACCAATTGATATCGCAAAAATAAAACCTTGAGGATTTAAAAATTGTCTTTTTTTCAAAGTCTTTGAACTAATTGAAATGATAGAGAAAAAAATTAGAGAATTTTCTTATAATTTGAGAAAAATTTTTTTATTATACCAAAATCATAATATTTTGTCGTAATCATGTCATTTAATGGGAAAAAATAGCACTAACAAAGGAACCCATTTTTTTTTTTTTTTTTTTGCTTAATTATGAACTTTGCATAAGATATGTTAGATAGAAACTGTCTAATTTTCCTTTTTCTTTAACGCTTTCGATTTCATAATTTTGGAATAAGTCACAAAAAAAATTAAAAAAAAACAGTTGCTATCAAAGATATAATTCAATTAAAATTAGTATTTTATTTAAATCCAATGGAATTGTAAATGCGAATTATCAATTAAAAAAAAAAGAAAAATAATAATGGACTAGGAATTTCAGTTTTGTTATGGAAAAAATAATTGACTAGAGATACCAATTATCAATAAAAAAGATAATTGCATAGGAAAATTTTCAATTTTCATTTATTTCACATGTTGGGTGTTTACACCTTATGGAAAAATTAATTTTATTTTTTTTTGGAATAAATTAATTTAGATTTCAATCAACGCTCTACCTAAGATTATAAAACCAAATTCTCAGCGTCAACCCTACAACATTGCAAGTATCTTATATACAAGCTTTTTGATGAGACAGACGGCTGAACATGATAAGGAAAGAATAAGAGATGAGAAAGCAATTGGCATTATGGAATTCTTGACTTTCAACACAATTTTGGCACAACATCTTGAAGGAAAAAAATCTAATTCAACTGAAATCAAGATGAAATAATAAGGTAGAGACATGCTAATGGATATATTCGAGATGTCTTATAAATTAAAATGCATATTGTCGACTTTTTTATTCCTTAAAAAAAGTAATTCTAATTCTAAAAGTTTTTCTTTCTAAAGTTTTTTAAATCTAGAAGTGAAAAATGGACGAATTTAAGTAGGATTGGATTGGATTTTTTTTATTCGGATAATTTGGATTCAATTTTTCTTTAAATTCGGATTATCTTAAGTTCAAACATTTTCAAAAACATACTAGATTTTTACTATTCTATTCTATCCAAAACTCTTTTCTTTATTCCTTCCATTCAAGATTTCTGCAAATTCTTCATCTAAAAGTTTTTATTTATATTTCTTTTTTAAAACTCTATTTTTTCCCTTAAATTTTCTTATTCTTATTTTCTTTTTACAATAATTTATACAATCAAGAAGAATAAACAATGGATCATTTTAGAAAAAAGAAGCCTTTTTTTTGTTTCTTTAAAGTATGAGATTTTTTTTAAAAAAAGTTTACATTTCTTGATTTTCATGCATAATTTTTTTTAATATATATCAATTTTATTACTGCTACTCTAAACTCTATTCTATTATGATTATAAAAATTTTAAATTGAAGTTTTCTTATCATTTTTTTTTATTGAATGGAATTTATTGGTCATGAGTGCATGTATACATGGAACCGTTAAATGTTTAAGGAATTGATGAATGGCTTACAATATGTCGAACTTTTCTCGATTCAATTTCCTAAATCACATTTTTGTCTTTAATTTCAAATTTCTTTATTCTTTTGATGGGCTTCACTATTAAATTTCAATTACACTTTATCTTATCACTATTAAATATCACTATTAAATATTTGTTACATTTGAATTTTATGTAAACCTTTTTTTTTTATATATATAACAAAATTATCTTTTTTACCAATTAAGCAATCAACTTTATGAAAAGAATTTAATTAAAATTTTCAATGCCTTAATGGTTTAATTTAATGGTGGTCTAACATTGTACACTTAACAAAAGCTATAGGATATTGTTGTGTTATAGATAGCATTGACTCTGCTATATATATTTGTTTTTCTTTCTCTTTTCTAGAAAATTTTGCGTTTAAAGTCTGTCCATTATCTAATTGTATTACAACCACCAATGCAGTAAATAATTATCAAATATCAAAACCAAAGACGGGAAAAAGAAGCAAACAAACACACAATATACTTTAAAACCTATAATCTAAACCATACAGAAAGGAATCCTTTTGACCATGCATCTCCTGCCAGCCTTATTTCCTATTAATAAATAACTATAAAAAACTTAAATTTATAATGATTGTTATTATAAATTCAAAAAATTAAAAATCAATACAAATATATATATGGTAAGAAATTTTGATTGAAAAAAAATGCATTTAAAAAATGTGGTAAGAAAAAAATTTTAAAATCTATTCACGATATTGAAATTTGAGCTTACCATGCGATATGAGCTGCATCATAGTCACTTATCGGAGGCATGATCGGACTGAAGTTCTAAGCACATCTGTTCTAAAAGTAACTTTTTAACATCATCCACAGAAGTTGACAAATTTTGTCGAATGTGCTTGTCCAAGGAATTTGCCATTCCCTAATGAATGAAATTAAGAAAAAAGAAAGAAATTGAGTAAATATGGAATTCATCAAACTCATAAGAGCAAAAACAGAAGCAGGAAAGCTGAAAAATCTTTTCTCATCTTATGATAAATGGTATCGGTAAAGGCAATTTCACCGTTCAAAACAATTTCTTTAGGACGTTAACAAATTAGAAGGGAAAGAACCTATGACCACAACAACTTACTGACATCCAAGCTGATTAAAATAAGTCAAGCATGATCGCAGACCGATAGACCATAGATTTCGTAACTGCTTCAACTTTTGATTTCTTCTCAATCATTTAACAGACAAGATAGTGGAAAATCTTTGTCAAGATATCACTCAAAGCACAAAATTATCAATGATGGAAAACTAAAACTTCTAAGGCTAATCAAAATCCCAAGTTAAACCTCCTTTCTCACGCCAAATAATGACTACTTTTCTTCTTTTATAACCAAGCCTAAATTGCAAACTAATTGAAGTTGCTGCATGAATCATTTTTACTATTCTGTGCAGTAGCCTCTGAAAAGGCAAAGAAAAAGAAGAAATTTTACTGAAATATGTATTTAAGTTAGACTCTGGTTTTAACTAAGGGAATGTTTCGAGGAGATAAAAGTTCTAAGGCAAAAAGCAAAAAGAAAAAAGATTGAACAATAATAATATGAAATAAATGCCACTTACCTCAACCTTGCAAAGTAAGCTCAATGAAATTCCCCTTGAATGATGATCTGAGCTCTTGACAGATAACAATTTCAATGCAGATTTTGGCAGCATCCAACCTTGAGACACCTTTATAAATGCATCAATGCCCCCGACCATGTGAGCAATGATGGTCTCATCTCTCTCTGAGTACTCAAAGGAATGCCTGCATTAGGTACTATTCAAATGTAAAAAGCTTCTCCTTTTGCAATTTCTTTCAACTTTCCCCCATTTTTGGTGGGTGAACAGAAATTTAAAAAAACTTATATGACAAAGGAAATGAAGTGCACAATTGACCAGCTACTTTAAACCTCTTGAAATTATTATATCAACACTGTGAACACTTTACCTATATGAGTCTCACCTTGATTTATTTGTACTCTTCACTATAAATCGTCTCAAAGTACTTACGATAATCCTATCCTGCACTTTTCCCACAAGCCACTCTAGTGAAGACCATGTCTCCTGTGCCATTAAGTTAGAGGATAGCTGCCTGCAACATCACAATAGATTATATACCCTAAATAAGGAATTCAATCAAGGTCTACCTTTGTCAAACTGGATAAAAAAAATGATTCATGACAACTGTCAGGTTTAATTAAGCTACTTGCCATCTCGACATGGTGGGTTGATTAAGTTCCAAGAAAATGTGAATTTATATAAATAATAAATGTATATAAAACAATTACTGCAAACATCTCAGTAAAAGGTGGCAAAAACTACATATTATGAGCAGTACTTTTAGCACAAAAACAACAAGGATAATTAAAGCTTATTCTTAAGGGTGACAGCCTGGGAAAACAGGATCTGCCATGAAGGGAAAGAATATAGGAAATTAAAGGTTCAAATGAGCCAAAAGAAGGACAAATAGGTTGCTGTTCTAGTTGAAAAAACTGCCTTTCAATAAAAACTTTGACTGAAAGTCTGAATGAAGAACTTTGGTTTTTAATAGATGAATCAATATGATGGGACCATAATTTGATAATACCCTCTAAATGACGGATAAGTTGATGTATAAAAGAGGGTTGAAAGGTTTTATATAGGGTGGATAGCAGCAAGGTTGAGAAAAGAGATGCAAGTAATTTTAGGTTTGCAAGCGCCTAAGACATTCAAAATTGAAAGAAGAAAGGAGATAGACCTTCAGAGGACTTCTTCTTTTTAAGAAATCACACTTATGATTCAATCTATTGTTCTATATAAAAACTGACAAATTACATTCCCTTTAATGGCCTTCTGCTACTATACATGCACACATCTGCAAAAATACACATGATAAATTCGGATTCAACCTTGAAGTCAGAAAAACTGAAAAACCAAACCTGAAAGACTTTGCAGCATCAATTATATCATCTATGTAAACATCATTTGGGAACATCTGGACAACATGATACATGAACAAGCATTTCAAAACAATTGAACAAAAAGACATGAAGAACCAATATGATTCTTCTTTTGCAAGCAAGCACAGGTTTTCTAATGCCTGTTTAACTTGAGCCCAAAAAAAAAAAAAAAGACACGGCATGAAACTAATGAATGAAAAAATTATCATCCAAAAAGAAATATATGATAGTAACTTTTGTGAAAATGGTTTTGACACCAAATTGTTTTTTTCTTTTTCCAGTTTGATAGGCATCAAATGGGAAAGAAACTGAATTTTTGGGCAATCTTAAAACCAGTTTTTTCCTTTTCAGTTGACTTCACATTATTACATCAGAGAGATTAGTTACTTGTCAAGTATGATTATTTATCCATTGACTATCAAAAGTTTAATTTCTTTCTTTATGAGAACAGAGATAAAGAAAAGAACAACAGATTATTTCAAGTTTTTCACAAAAAAACAATTAGTCATACCTCAACATTCTTAACCTCCATGGTTCCATCCATAATCTCTACTAGCAATTCATGATTCATTTCAGATGGCTCAGCAATATCTTCAATCATCGTTTGGAACAATTCACCCTCTACTTTTGGAATATAAATCTGTAATGACAGCCTAATGCAGTTTCCATCAAACCAAATGACTTTCAAACCAGTCAATGCATCTTCAATCTGTTCTATGGTATCTAATCTGAAAATAAAAGAAAAAGAAAAGAACACAGTAAGCAAAAGGGTAATGATATAGAACACATATAACCAAAGCAAAAATAAGTGAACAATCTTTTAAACATAGAATCAAGATCTTGCAAAGACTTGAAAATTAAATTGTTCTTCTCAATCTGACTTTCTAGTTCCAAAATCTGAAAAGCATAAATAGAAGAATATTGGATGTTTAATGAAGTAAAATATGTAGTGTCATTTACAACTCAAAGAATTTAATATACATTATTAGCACATATACATAATTAATATCCTAATTGAATATATCAAATATCTAGATCATTATAAAAAAGCTAGAACTTAGTCATCAAAGAAAAGAGATTCTTATAAACATGATTATAAAGCCAAAAACCTATGGCACAATTATTAAAGTTCAGCATCAGCTTGAATCTAATGCAGTATTCAAGAAGCAAGCGAGAAGAAACAAAAGCACCCCAAACTTTTTCTCTTCATTTGCATCCATCAAATTCAATTGATTTTTATAGCAGGGGTCCTCTTCTACTGTCTCCAGACCCTACAACTCAAAATGTCAAAAGGCTAACTGTTAAATTTGACTTCCAAATTGATTTCAAACTGAATACCTTTCAAGCCATCAAGATTGCTTCACAAAATGAAATAACATAGAGAAACCAACCTGAAGATGCAATAGAATCCAATGCACACCTCAAGCCCTCAAGATTGCCTTCCAGTATATTTGTTTCTGTAAAAATAGAAGTCAAACGTAAATCAGCAGAAGAAAAAGCATTTAAGAGTAATTACATGTGAAAATCAAACCTAAGTCGATGAAGCCTCACCTTCAATATGATTTCTTGAAAGATCCTCAATTTCCTTAGAAATCTTGGTACTTTCAGCCTCTACTTGATTAAGCTCCTCTTTTAAGTGTGCTAAGTGTTTATCTGTATGAATAATTAAAAAAACACCAATCTAGAATCAGCACAACATTGCATTGCAGGCATACAGATGTTTTCCTATGATGTGCTAGGCATTCAAGTGTGCTAGATATTCATCTTTTAGTTTCCTATGATGAGTCACTTTATAAAATACTTGCATTTCAGGCAATCACAATTAGAAGAATAAAACATTAAACATGTTATCCGAAAGAGCATCAAAAACTTTGAATGGATCCTAAACTATCCAATTCCCTTCCGTATCAGAAACCCTTTCATTATCTAAAAACCCTTTTAAACTCCATATTCCACAAAACCCAGAGATTTTTCACCAAAAAGAAAAAAAAATCCAACTTTGTTACTAAAACTTAGTAACCATAACATACAATCCGATTAAAGACAAAAACAAGCAAAAGAGGCAGTTACTTAATACAATACCCACTTTAAGTTCAATTGTACATGTATATGTGCAATTGATTTTAATAAAAATTAACCACAAAAATCTAAAAGATTAAAGGAAACATACTTAAATCTTCAATTCCTAAGAAACCCACTTCAGAATACTCTTCAACAATTTGCTTCACTTTACTCCGCATAAACACACTCTTAAGTCTTAATTCAAAAAAAAAAAACAAAAATGAAACAAAATATTAAAAAATAATATTGAGAATCACCTCGAAGTGAGAAGTGCAATCTGAGCACCTTCTCGGAATTCGAAGAGAGAGCTTCACTCTCAACCTCATTTTTATTGCTACTATGAATCTCCGAGAGCTCTTTTATTTGGCTCAAAACAGGAGAAAAAATTAAAATTAACAAAAAAAGATTTTATATAGAAAGGAGCAAATTACTTCACAGTATTAAAAAGAGAGAAAAAAACCCGCGAAGATTGAGAGGTTGTAATGAAGAAGAAATCTCCGTGGGCTCTGCCATGGTTTTTGTGTGTTTAAATGAATCTAATCTCCCGCCTGTTTGAAGGTTGGTTAAGTAGCTGAGTTGCTGGCAAGAGGAGGAAATATGTTAAAATTCAAAGGGGAAAGTTGAGGATATTTATTTGTTTCGAGTGGAAATGCTGGGATTGGGCCCACTTTGGAACCAAGAAGTGGGCCCTCTTTTCAAGTCGACAATTCTAAAGAATCGTTCATGAGAAAAAAAAAGTATTATTCTCAACTTTTAAAATAAAAAGGTGGCAGAAAAGAAAATTAAAAGTATCCTTTTGATTTTGGTTAAAATATTAAAAAAACACATGAATTATTTTAATTTTTAAATAAAATTTTATTTTTTTAATTTATATCTAAATAATTCTTTATTTTAAATGAAAGATTAATTTATATTAAAGATTTATTTAGATATAAATTAAAAGTTAAATATTTATTTGCATGTAATAAAAATATAAAAATTTATCTAATTGAAATAAATGACAAAATTCAGAGTTTCTTTATTGTTTTAGCCTAATAATAAGTGCATATACTCTCTTAAAAATTCTAATTTAATAATCTTTTTCTAATTGAAAATAATATAAAAATTTATGAACTTTTTAATGTGATGAAAAATTCATTAATAAATATATAAAAGCAAGAAATGGAAAAACTAAGAATTTATGTTTAATTTTTCTCACCTTTTTTATTTTATTAGTTGAATTAAGCTCGAATTGCTTTCACTTTGATCAATTAATTAGTCTAAAAATAGAAGTAATATTCATTTGTGAGAATTTTAAACTCTAATAACTATTCTTTGGTGCTATTATGAAAAATTTTAAAACATTTCAATCATCAAATATTACCGTCACAAAACAGAGAAACTCAAATTAAACTTTACTATATTTTTATCATATACAATATTAATAATTTGTCTATCTCATTTTTAATCCAAAAATTACATATCATCATAAATTCATGTTTATATAAAAAATACAAAATATATTTTTTATTTTAATTAAATTCATTTATAATTTTTATTAAAATTTTAAATCGTATCTTTTTCATATATTTTTTATATCATATTCATATATTATTTGCTAGTATTTTTCATATACTTTATATAATTTCATCATATTGTGTTTTAAGTTATTAGCTAAGTATAAACTTTTTTATTGTTATGATAATAATTAGGGGAGCCCCTGGATCTGCCCTTTATGGCTTTGAGCCAAGCTCCGGGCTCTGGCTGGTTTTGAAAACTTAGCAACTATTCAAGGAGTAAAAGGAAGAGAAATCATTTCCATACCACTTAGAATGGGATTTATAAACAGAACAGGGCAATCGTCTCAGTGAATCAATTAAGTTGACCAAATGGAAAGGCTGCCAAAACTCATAGTCAACAATGGTATGATTTACAGGTTGACCACTATTACACATTGAAGAGTCTGTATTTCGAATTCGAGCATCTGACCATAACACTTAAATGTATGCATCTTAAATGAATGCAAAACGATGCATGATAGAAAATGTAAGAAGTAGAGCACAACCTAACTGGAGATGCAGTATACATACTGTCTAAAGAAAACAGCCAAAATCCACTCGGACCTTTCTCGGCATGTAATGCAATCTTCAATGGTCCGGTTTCAATGTCAAACACTCCAAATCTGCAAAAGCTTGCACCCAAGCTATCCTATTTTAAACAGCTAAGCTTCTTCGCTGCATCAGTGATGCTCTGGCTTATTCGGGATGTTTGGACTCGAGCAATTTCTCAAGTCTAAGGGTTGCTTCAGGTATGCAATCCTCCTTGATGTAAGACTCCGAACAAAGACCGAAATTTTCTAGGTTGACCTCTTCGTCGAGTTGAAGGCAAAATAAGTGGCTAAAGACCTGAAAGGTGAGCATAACATTACAAACTGCCAATCAGATTTACGTGAATATGTGCTATATAAATTTAATAATCATGGAAGAATGCAAAAATTGTTAATGCTAAGAATTACTATTAGTTTTCTAAATTCCTAAATCCTCTTCATAAGTTTCCCTAGTTAAAAAAATCACGACAAAAATCAAACAATCAATAACATCTTAGCAGGCTATAGCAATTTTTGGCCAGGACTGTATAACTAGTAATAAGCCTTTAAAATATATTTGTATTACATTTATAGAGAGTGAGAATAAGCTATAAAACAATCAATAAACTTTGATTAATGACAATATTTATGAAGTTGTTTATTCTCACCTCTTTCATCCTTGAAACAACTGCGTCCTTAATGGCAGGAGACCTTGAGACCAAATTAATAACAGAGACCTTGCTCAGAAAGGGTATCTTTTACATTTTGGAGAAAAGACTTCCACAAAATCAGCAGCAGGACAGGTCATTCCAGAGCTATAAAGACAATATAACAGAGATGATTAAAAATATTAAAAGACCTCCAGCGTTTCAATGACAATTGTTGCGACTGTTAATAGCTCCATTCACCTTGAGTCTGAAGAGTTCACATCAACAATAAGTATGTCAATAGCAGTACTTCTTCGGCTTCCTGCATCTGAAAAATTGCAACTTCCATTGGAAGAAAGGAGCATTTCATTGCTTGAAGCATTCTTGTTTTTGTGAAGAGGCACATCCCCTGTTGCAGATAAGTTTCTGTAGTCCAGAACAAATTCGATGCCATCGGCGACATGTAGCTGAAAACTATTGGAAAGCCTAATGTTTTTAAAGCTCTATAAAAAAAAGAATATTATATCTGCCATCTTAAAGTTATTTACATTTACATAAGCATTCTTGAAAAGGTGAAACAAAAAAATTATTTTCCTATTTTATTCACTCTATCTGCTCCAACTTTTATTATTATACCCAAGCCATCAAGAAGATTATCAACGGAATAGAGCCTTGATGTCTTGAGCAAAATGAACCAAGAGCCAAACCATGAAATTAATATATAGTAACAAATTATACAGATATGTAATTAGAATAATAATTACAGACAGGTAATTATAAGCCTCAGTTGAGTATAGAGCTAACAAAAAGTACTCGGAGCATAAAACAGGGTGATGCACTGAGGTAAAGTCAGTTACCTTCAAACGTTTATCTTCAGTAAAACCAAAGTGGTCACTTGCAAGGTTAACCATAGTAGGATCTAGCTCCACTGCCTGAGGATAAAAATTTCATTGCACGATTTCCATAAAGTAAAACCAACTTCAAAAACAATGAGAAGAGTCATTAAATTTAAAAAAAAAAACAATTCCTTTTGAAAACCAGCTTGGCAGATTTTTAAGGGGGTAAAGTAAAAATTACCTTAATTTGCATAAATTACATATATCCATGAAGAAACATAGGAAGTAAACCCGCACCAAGACCTATCACAACTGCTTTAACCTGAGACAGATGATTTTTAACATGAGCAGCACATCACAAACAAACGCATCAATGATTTCAGAGAAAAGGTCAATCACACGGCCTTTGCCTATTGAGACTAAAACATTGTGCACCAATGCTTAGACCTCCAAATTTGAAAGTTGGCTAAAGTTGGTCCATGTCTGACACACAGAAGAATGACCCGCAGTTCAGAAAGAATGTTCATTTCTTCATCAATGTAAACCGAATGATCACCAAAATATACTTTAATCAAGCAACCATGAATTTTTAATATACAATGAAGACATCAAAACCAGGCAATTACAGATATCTAAAGAGTTGGAGGGCAAAAATCTATCAAATATTCCACAAGGGAAAGAGTATAAGCCATATTTTATTCCCAGCTGATGCCTTTCCAAATAGGATGAAATCAGTGAAAACCTAGAAATGATCCCTGTATGATAAGAACTAGCCAAATAACCATGATACACCTTCATCTCGCTGCTTGATTCTATATATTAAGAAAAAATCAGAAACAAGCTGTTTAAAAGAAGCTTTTTTGGATGGAGTACAGTAATTAAACAATTAAAAAAGGCAATAAGCAGAATCTTAGATGGAAGGTAATTTCAGTATTTTGAAGACATGTTGCTCAAGGACTCAAAAGTGGATCTGCTTCAACAGACGCTAACTAATAAAGAGCACGTCCTCAGAAGTTTGCTAATCCAATGATTTCTGTCCAATTATCTTAGAAATAGCACCATATTTCTCTCCCTTTACCAATAATAATACAACAAAACAGACATTAGCGCCATTCAAATGCACAGGAATCATATAAAACTTATAACAAAAGCAAGAAAAAACCGTCTAACAACAGAGGTCTAAGACATTAATAAATTCAAAAGAACAGCATAAAGGCATGAGATAAGAGTCAGCAGGACCATAGTCTTCCAGTTTAGTATTAAACATTTTGCCATCACTCTGTTTCCAATAAACAAATTTGTAGTCAAATCTCTGCCCCTGCAATCTCTTTTCCTATCCCAAATTATAGTCTCAAAGAAATTAGTCATAGAGACTAAGAAAAGGAAACATATATATGCACAAATCAAAAGGACCAAAGCATCCCAAAACGGAAAATGCAATCCACTTATTACTCAACCTAACATTTTGCAAAATTATGATTGAAATCTAGGTGTTAAGCTTTCTAGTAAATGGTTTGAGTGTTGGAATTAGATTTAGACAAAATGATTGAAGAAAAGGAAAAGAGCTTAAAAAGAAAGGAAAACCTCAATTCAATTTCTTAATTATTAGTTTTGCTTCTTCTTTACATTCATCAACATTCAATTTGCTGAATCCAATATCTGATTGAATATCTCTCTACCTATGTCAATGAGGAGATGGTGAACCAAACAGTGGCCATAACTGGCTTCTCTCCGGAAAGTCAACTTTTTTTATGTTTCCTTAAAACCCCATCAATTGTTTTCAACTTTCTGGTAAGTTTTCTTCTCTTAGGTGCTGTCCATAGTATCTTCATCTTAAAAACAAGCAGTGGCCATATGTTGTAGGATAGAAGACCTTTAACGAAATATGAATTTGGTGCTGCCCAAAGCATAGAAATCATTCCCTCAAGGGATTTGGAGCCATGGAAGTGATGATTTCTCACTTGTTGGAGGAGTTCAAAATTTTCTGAATTCACAAAAGAAGTTGGTGAAATAACCATCCTGGTTTATAGCATTGTTAGCATCAAGTTCACTACTAGAGATCAGACTACCCCAAATGGCCAGTGAATTGAAGCATAGCATGCTCATCTTATGTCTCCCAATATCTATAATTTCTTGAACGAATCATTCCTATACGATACTCTTAGCAACTTCAAGATGAATTCCTGTATGAAAAAGCATTTCCAGTACTTTCTGCAAGTACATGGTATATTCAAAATGATATTAGCTTCCAGTCGCCTGAAAATTTATGTTGTAAGTTCAATGGCATAATGGTTGAAGTTTTTGAAAACATTGTTACCTGCTGTATGATTTTGAATACATGCATATATTATAGTACGAAAGCATGTTATCTGTATATAACCATTGTGATCTTGAATTACTTTTTGCATATTTAGTCAACTTAATGCATAAGCTCAGGTTTAATTCACAACGTTCGTAGAGCACTCGAGACTGATCCTTACCTCAAATGTATTTTGATCAAAGAAGAGGACTGGCTACTAGATGCCCGGGAGTTCAGTCCCTGCAACAAAGATACAGTTAGATATGAGTGGAAAAGGGGAAAATTTTTGGATTTTGTACAATGATTTAAGAATTAGAATTAGTTGCTATATCAGAATTCAGAGCAATGCTTCCAATAGATGAGATCAATGTGCATATTTTAACATCTAGTGAAGACCTAGGGAATAAATTATCGAAAGGATTTACTTGAATGATACAAAAGTGAGTTTATGTAAGTTGCATCACCACAAACAAGAAAGGCCCTTCCTTGCCTCCTGTAGGCAATCTATGCTGATGCTCCATACTAAGCGACCACCTTTGGTTTTAGACACCTGCTACAAATTTCTGTTATACTTTGGGTCATTTTAGACAACGCAGTCTGTGTCCTCTCATGCAAGGACATGAAACTGAGGGGGAAAAGGTCATTTACCTGTGATTGCAAATAAGATGCAGTTGAAGCAGCAATTTCATAGCTAATAAGTTACAGATAAGTGGAATAAGCCTCTAAAAAGTATGTGTAACTGTATTCTGGTGATTGATTCATGCTTTCTTTCCGTGGAATATAGGTAGCAAACAGCAGCCTGCAGGCCCTTGTATCTTCTCAAACCATTGGCCTAAAAATTATAAGGATGAAGTTACTCCATTTCGGTAGAACAATTAATCAAGTTTTTCATTTACAAAAACCTCAATTCATAAGAAGCTTTTATCATTTTCTTCAAAGCTAAAATTAGTGACTTAATCAAGACCACATAACAATTTAAGAATGTTTTTCTTCAAATTTAGACCATCAAAAAGATTCCGATTCATTCATACCCTTTAAGCTGTTAAAAGTTGCTCTGAACTGCCCTCATTTTTTTCTTAGTCAAGGTCTACTCTACATTGACATAAGCTTAGGATTGCAACTATATAACAATAGGGCTTACAACAAAACATTTTTCTTTGTCTATGTGCGAGTGTAAAATTATAGAAACAAGGAATAAGGTTGTATTAAAATGAAGAAAATGTTAGAGGAAATTATTATGAACTACAAAAGGTTTGGGAAAACCTATCATGGGAAATAGAGATGCATACCTGGATTTCTGATACAAAATAAGCCATTCCAGACGAGAAGGGCAAAATGGTTTGGCTTCAAAGAATGATAAATAGACCAGACACATTAAAAGGCTTTTTATAATCATATCTCACTCCATCTCCATCATGATCAAGGACTTAATCTCAAATAATCACATTCTGTTTCCGTCTTTTCAGTGCATTGGTATAGCATGTGTACAACTAATTAAACAACAAAGGATCTTTGCTTGAGCTTGGTCTTTTAAGATTATTTCATTGTAATACTAGTCACTATTCATTCTACATGCCATATCTTGTTTCAGGTTCCTCCTGCACTGCAACATTGTAACCGGAAATTATAATTATAACAGACTCATTGATAATGAATATCACTATTACAAGAACAAATATTATATGATAGTAAACATTGTCAAGAGAGAAAAAGGATGTTAGGAAATTTAAAGAATATCATAATTTGCAACAACAATCTTTTCAATTTAAAAATATTTTACAAGTTTCTAAAGAAAATGTTTACCTGCTATTTTGAAAGATGAATTGAAGCTAAGCATGCTCTTCATATGTCTCCAAATATCTATAATTTCTTGAATGAATCGGTCATATACATTACCATTTACAACTTCAGGATAAATTCCTGTATGAATAAGAACTTCCAGCACTGCCTAAAAGAACACAATACATTCAAAATGATATTAGCTTCCAGTCATAATAAAAGGTTTAGGAAAAACCTATCATAGGAAATAGAGAAGCATACCTGGATTTTTTTAAACAAAATTAGCCATGCCAGGCAAGAAGGGCAAAATGTTTTGTCTTCAAAGAATGATAAATAGACCAGATATCTTGAAAAGGTTTTTATAATTATATCTCACTCCATTTCCATCTCCATCATGATCAGGACTTAGTCTCAAACAATCTCATTTTGTCTTCATCTTTTTTGGTTCATTGATACAGCATGTATGCGACTAATTAAACAACAAAGGATCTTTGCTCAAGCTTGGTCTTTTAAGATTATTTTGTTGTTAGACCTGTCTCTTTTCCTTTTAGATGCCATATCTTGTTTCTGGTTCCTCCTGCACTACAACATTATAACACAAAATTATAACAGACTCGTTGATAATGAATATCACTGCTACAAGAACAAATATTACAAGATACTGAACTTTGTCAAGGGAGAAAAAAAAATAAGGCTACAAAATTTAAAGAATATAATAATTTGCAGCAACTATCTTTTCAATTTAAAAAGATTTCCCAAGTTTCTAAAAGGAATGCTTACCAGCTATTTTGAAACATGAATTTTGATGCTTATCTTCTTCCTTTTCCCTTTCTTTTTGAATTTGTCTAGCCATATATTTCCGAACTCATTCAGCACTGTGTATCCCATACATAAACCAATGACCAATCCACTACCATAACCGATCAATGCAATTTTCCAAACAGATATACCATCTACCCATGAATCTACATCTTTCTTTGGAAGGGGCACCAGAACACCAAATTCATTGCATTTCCATGACAAAGGCGGCCCGCATAATCTTGGATTCCCTTTGTAAGAATCAGTTGAAAATGTATTGAATTGGTTGCTTTGTGGTATGCTCCCTTCAAGTTGGTTGTAAGACAGGTTTAGTGCTTCCAGGAAAGTTAGACTTGTAAGTTGAGGAGGAATCTTCCCGGAAAGTTTGTTCTGTGAGAGGTCCAAAGACTCAAGGTCTTTTAGGTTCCCAAGTGCTAATGGAATTTGGCCAGAGAAGCTATTTTGGGATAAGTTTAGCACCATGAGTGATTTGAGAAATTGTATTTTTTCTGGTATTCTCCCACGGAAACTATTGTTGGAAAGGTCAAGACAAGTAAAAATGGTTAAGATTTTCTTGTAAAAAATTACAATCCCTTTATTAACAATTGTCACAGAGTCTTGATAGTACCGTTCTCCAATATAATCTAGCCTTGCTTTGTTGCCATCAGTCATCAAAGTCATTGCCCTCAAACATTGCAAAAATTCTATGGATAAGTCACCTGAAAAGTCGTTGGAAGCAATGTCCAATATCCGTAGCATTGAAAAACCACCTTTCATTTCGAAATTTTTAATTGCACCATAAAATCTGTTTGCTCGTAGAATGAGAACCTTCAAGGAAGGCAACATCTCCAACCAAACCGGAAATGTGTCATGAATCATATTGTTTCCAAGGTCTAAAACCTCAAGTTTTGTGCAATTGGCTAATGATCTTGGCAACTTCCCTTCCAATTTATTCCCACCAATTTTGAGTGACCTTAATTGAGTAGCTTGAAGGAAATCAATGGATAGTTCACCAGAAAATTCATTAGAAGCAATGTCAAGTACATCCAACACCGGAAAACCATTTTTATGTTTCGAATGTTTAATTTGACCATAAAATCTATTCTCTCGCAGTATCAGAACCTTCAGTGCAGGTAATTTTTCCAACCAAAAAGGGAATGTATCATACATCATGTTGTTTCCCACATCCAAAACTTCGAGTTGAGTGCATTTGGCTAGTGACTTCGGCAACTTCCCTTCCAATCTATTCTCACTAACTTTGAGTGTCCATAGTCGGGTTGCTTCTGCAAAATTTGGTAAGATTCCGCTAAAGTGATTTCCTTGAAGGTCCAACAAATCGAGAGTACTGATATTGCCTAAGCAACTTGGAATTGTGCCACTCAAATTGTTATAAGATGCATTGAAAATCAAAAGTTGACTCAAATTGCAAATAGGTCTGAGGGAAGAGCCTTGTGAAGAAGTTAGAGATTGATTGGGTAAAAATTGGTCCAAAGATGAGAGATGATTGTTAGAAAGAGACAAATAACCCAAACTTTTCTTCCACAACCAGTTTGGTACTGCACCACTTATTGTGTTGTTTGAAAGGTCAAGATATTCTAAGTTCTCTTGACTCTTTAAAAACTCTGGAAATGTACTTATATTACAGGATCTTAAAATCAACCCCCACAGCATTGGAAAGGAAGAGTTTGCATCACCAAAGGGAAATTGTTTTGGGAAATCAATGGCGTTGAAAGAAAGGTCTAAATATAGAAGAGTGGTCTTCCACAGCCAATTAGGCACAAAACCATGGATTTGGTTGTTAGAAAGATATAGGGCAACCAACTTGTCTTGTGTTTTGATGAATTCAGGAAATTCTGTAAGGTTGCAAGATCGTAGGCTAAGATAATATAATTGGGGAAAAGTAAAGTTTTTGTTGTTGCTTTCAATTGAAAAGGAGGAGTTTGCATCACCGAAAGGAAACTCTCTTGAAAAATTAATGGGATTGAAAGAAAGGTCTAAAGACAGAAGAGTGGTCTTCCACAACCAATTAGGCACAAAACCATGGATTTGGTTGTTAGAAAGATCTAGATCAGCCAACTTGCCTTGTGTTTTGATGAATTCTGGAAATCCAGTAAGGTTGCATGACCTTAGGGCTAACTCCTCCAATTGGGGAAATATAAGGCTTTTGTTGTCGCTCCCAATTAACAAGCTCATATTGGATAGATCGAGAGACCGTAAGTTCTTGAGTTGAAAGAACATGTCAAGCTTCATAGAACCAAAGTTGTTATAGCCAATATCAAGTGATTCAAGCCGTGGGAGTTGAAGGATTGAGTTAGGAATGGATCCCCTTAAATGATTACAGCCCAAATAGAGATTTGCAAGATTTGGAACTCCAAATCTATGAAATGGAGGGATTAAACCACTGAAATTATTATATGATAGATCCAGTTCCACAAGATTTGTAAGATTTGCAACTGATGATGGAATGGATCCAGAGAAATAACAATCACCAAGATCTAATTTTGTCAATAACCTAAGATTACCAATTGATTTTGGTAATCCTCCGCTGAAATTTGTCCAGAATAGTGATAAGACCTGCAAATTGTTGTTAATCGAAAATTCTGGCAACTGACCCATGAGATTGTGATTTTCTGAAATATCAATGCTTTGCATTTTGGGCAGTAAGAAAACTTCAGTTGGAAAATGCCCACTCAAATTGCAATACCTTAGACTGAGAGAAACCAACCGAGAGGAAATTTCCAAGAAATTGAGAGGCAAATAAGAGATTAGGTTATCGTCAAGGTTAAGTTTGGAAAGAAAATGGAGTGTGGAGAAAGAAGAACAAAGTGGACCTGTCAAACCACAAGATGCCATGCTTAACACATGTAAATTTGGAAGTGTTGACGATATGATTTCACACCATTTTGTACTTTGAGTTGAAATGTTCACACTATCCAAATAGAGCTCTTCGAGAAACATCAAATTCTTGACTAATGAGTTGAAAGTTGGTTTCTCTAGCTTTAGAATAGGATAATAATCATCATCATGTGAATCAACAATTTGATAATTTCTCCAATAGCAATAATCTTGATTAGATAGATCAAGAGACACTAACCTTGTTAAGTGTGAAATTGCTATTGGAATTTGACCGTGAAAACATGAGGCTGAGAGATTTAAATGAGTCAAATTTTGGAGTCCTTCAAACTCATAGGAAAACAGAGTGGTATTAAAATTGTTTCCAGCAAAATTAAGGCGTTGAAGATGATGAAGATCAAAAATAGATTGAAAATTTCCTGAAAGGTTTTTGGAATTAAGATCGAGGCCAATAACATAACCAAGACCATCACACGTGACTCCTTTCCAAGAGCAATAATCTGTTTTGAGATCCCAAAGCTCAAGTTTGGAAGAAAAAGTAAAATTAGGAGAAAAGTAAAGATCTTGCTGCAACTGAACCAGGGCAGATCTTTGGTCATCAAGGCGTTGGCTTTGGATACTTGTTTTAGATAGGACAACAGGTATGAAGGAGCATGAGAAGAGAAAGAAAGTAGGCAAAAAGAGTGAAATTAGGATACGAAGAGGGCTCATGTTTTCTGTCTACAAAAATGAAGGAAAGGTTGTGGAGTTTCATATTTCCATACACCATATTTATAGACTACTACATCACATTGTATTATATATCCTTATCTGATTATTAATTTTATTATAAAGTTATAAATACAAAAAAAATTATAATTAAAATTAAATATTATATTCGTATAAAAAAATCTGATTTTCATTATCTTCAACTTTTGAATGATGAAATGAGATAGTATATTCTAATGCAACGTTGCTCAAAAGCTAATAAAGTAACAAATTAATATAAAACACTTAATGTTTTTCATTTAATCCTCGAATAGGTATACATGTTCTCAGCTTTAACCCAAAGAGTACTTCTAAATTAAAAGGAAATAAAAAAAAATTTTTGTTAAATTTCTTGTTGGTTGAGAAGGATTGGACGTAAGGTTGGAGGAATAAGACACAAAAAAGTTGGCACAGAGTGGAAATTTTGATGATAAATTTTGGGAATTCTTGACTTTTAACACAATTTGAAGCAACATCATTGAAGAAATAGAATATCTAAATTTGGTCTTCCAAACTTCCTTGACAATAATTGGAGTGATCTATACGAATATCTTATAAAATTGGTGACTTTTGAATTCTTTAGGAAACTCCTTGCAATTTCAAATTTCTTTTTCTTCTCAAAGTATCATAAACCAATTGAAACGCAAAAAGATTAAAAAATATGGAACCAAACAAAATTTTAAAAAAAAAAAGGAACATTAATAATTTTATTCATAAGATCAAATTGTTTGACACAAAAGATTCAACCAATTAATAAATTATTCAAGCAAGCATAAGCATACTCAAATCATAAATCATCGCCCATACAAAAAATAATAATTTAACATGATTCGATATTTAATTTATCTACATCCATCGATAAAAAAAAAAAGATCTATTACATATAAAAAATTACAAATATACGATTAAAGCAACCAACACTTACAATTAATATCTATATACCCTTTTATTCTCCTTTAATTCTAAGAATTACACTAAACCCAAACTATAAATATTCACACAACCATGACCCTTTGATTCTCTTTTAATCTTATGGAGTGTAATCAATCAAACATCCACACCCATGAGTACTCTTAATATTCTTCTCTATTATTATGAAATATAATTAATTATACATGCATACCCATCAGTACTCTCCTTTGACCCCATGAAATGTTTATCTTGTAAAATACTATAATTTATATATATATATATATATTTTTTCTTGTACCTAACCTTCTTAAGACTCACACAACATATAATACTTCTAACTTGATCACAAAATTCTTTTTTACTCTTAAAATTTTTATCTTTCAATTTTTTTTCTTTTAAATAATATATAATTAATCTCAAAAAATTCTCAAACAAATCTCTTATTAATTTTTTTTAACATTTAAGTCAATATTCTCAATATAAATACCCTTATAATTTGTATGTATATAGTCTTAAAATTGAACAAACCTTTTAACAAAAAAATAATAATAATAAGAAACCAATGAGATTGCATAGTTTTTGTCAAAAATTCCTAAACATCCTAAAATAATTAAATCCTGAGAATGTATAACAATTCAATCATATTGAATAATTAACAATTAATTTTCTAATAAAAATTAGTAATTAATTATTTTCATTTATCTCAGCTATAACCACAAATTATTTTGTGAAGGTTTATCCATAAAACTTGAGAAAACACACTGAAAGAGCATAGATGTTGATGGTAGTAATTAATTTAACTTGTTGACTAAGTGATTATATATAACTAAATTTCCAATTTTTGAAAAAAATAGGATGAAAGAAAAACTTGAGAATTTGAAAATTATTTTTGTTTTCAAAGTCTTTGAACCAATTGACATGGTAGAAATAAAACCTTGAGAATTTAAAAATTGCTTTTTTTTTTTCAAAGTACTTGAACCTATTGAAACAATAGAAAAAAAAATAGAGAATTTTCTTAGAATTCGAGAAAATTCTTTTATTATACCAAATTCATAATATTTTGCCTTAGTCATGTCATTCAAAGGGAAAAAATTAGCAATATCAAAAGAACCCATTTTGCATTTTTTTTTTATCAATTATGAACTTTGCATAAGATATGCTATGTAGAAACTCTCCAATCTTCCTTTTTTTTTTTTTAATGCTTTTGATTTTATAAGTTTGGAATAAGTCCCCAAAAAAATTAAAAATACAGTTGCTATAAAAGATATAATTAAATTAAATTTAGTTTTATATTTAAATCTAATGGAATTGTAAATACCAATTATCAATAAAAAAAAAAAAGAAAAAACTAATTGACTAGGAATTTAGGTTTTGATATGAAAAATTACAATTATAATTAAATAGTATTTTGGTATAAAATTTTATTGAATTAAGTCAATAAATTGAAACGAATTAAAAAGAAAAAATTGCAAGTTTCTTGTTGGTTGAGATGGAATGGACATCAGGCAGAAGGAATAAGACAAAAAACTAAAAATTTTGAGGATAAATTATGAGAATTATTGACTTTTAACATAATTTAAGACAACATCATTGAAGAAAAAAAATCTAAGTTTTGAATTCCAAACTTCCTTGAAGCCAATTGGAGTGATCTAACGAAATGTCTTATAAAATTGACAACTTTTTAATTCTTTAGGAAAACTCCTCGTAATTCCAAATTTCTTTTTCTTTTCAAAGTTTTGTAAACCAATTGAAACGCAAAGAGACTAAAAAATCAAGGCTCAAACGAAATTTTAAAAAATCAAAAAATTTATTCATAAGATCAAATTGTTAGGCATAAAAACACAATCAATTAATAAATTATTCAAGCAAGCATAAGCATGCTCAAACCATAAATCATCATCCATATAAATGATAATAATTTAATGTGCTTCCGAACACTTAACTTGTCGCCACATCATCCATAGACTAAAGAAAACTTGTCCAATTATCCATAAACTAGAACGAAAAAGACTGCTAATTAGAATGTAGGAGATTTACAAATATATTAATTAAAGTCGAACCAATACTCAATAATCAATACCAGTAAAGCGTTTCTTATTCTCCTTGTAATCTTATGAAGTTCTCACCCAAATAATAAACATTCACACACACCTATATCTTTTTATTCTACTCTAGTCTTATGAAATGTTAAATACATGTAAACATGTGCATCCATTAGTATCCTATTATTACTCCCCATAGTTCTTATGAAACATAATCAATTAAATATGCACACCCATGAGTATTCTCCCATACCATGAATTCTTTATCCATAAAACTCCTTCAACTCTTTTACATTTTTGTTAACGGGTCCAAAAAATTACTAAAACATCTTAAAATAATTAAATCACCAAGAATGTATAATAATTCAATCATCGTTAAATAATTAACAATTAATTTTCTAATGAAAAATTAGCAATTAATTAATTTTCATGGTCTCAATCCACAACCACAAATCATTTTGTGGAAGTTTAATATATCAAAACTTGAGAAAGCACATTGAAACGAGTGTAGAATGTTGATGGTAGTAATTAATTTAACTTGTTGTACTAAGTTATTATATAACTAAATTTCCAACTTTTGAAAAGAATAGGATGAAAGAAAAACTTGGGAATTTAGAAAGTATTTTTGTTTTCAAAGTCCTTGAACTAATTGACACGGTAGAATTAAAACCTTGAAGATTTAAAAATTGTTTGTTTTTCAAAGTCCTTGAACCTATTAAAACGATAGAAAAAGAATTAAAGAATTTTCTTAGAATCCGAGAAAATTCTTTTATTATACCAAATTCATAATATTTCGTCTTAGTCATGTCATTCAAAAGGAAAAATTAGCAATATCAAAAGAACCGCATTTTGCCTTTTTTTTTTTTTCAATTATGAACTTTGCATAAGATATGCTAAGTAGAAACTCTCCAATCTTCCTTTTTTTTTTTAATGCTTTTGATTTTATAAGTTTGGAATAAGTCCCAAAAAAATAAAAATAAAAATACAGTTGCTATAAAAGATATAATTAAATTAAATTTAGTTTTATATTTAAATCTAATGGAATTGTAAATACCAATTATCAATAAAAAAGAAAAAAGAAAAAACTAATTGACTAAGAATTTAGGTTCTGATATGAAAAATTACAATTATAATTAAATAGTATTTTGGTATAAAAATTTATTGAATTAAGTCAAACAAATAAATTAACAAATGAACCAAAAAAATAATTAAACAAATCCAACATAAAATTAAATCAAACACACAAATAATAAGTAAGACTTAATCTTTTGCTTTAAACTTAGTCTTGTCATCACGCTAATATTTGGTCTTTTTCGTGATTGTTACTTCACAATGCTAATAATCTAAGAAGTTGCTTTAGTCTAAGTCAATTAAAAACACAAAAGTATAGCAATAAATTTATTTTTTCTAGCAAGCAATAAATAATATACTTAAAATTTATGAAAGACTAAATCATAAGTACTAAGTTAATATCTTATTTTCATTGTATTTAACTTTTTAGTTAAGAAATGGGAAAATATATTCGGATGCAACATTGCTCAACCAGTTATTTTGAAACAAAAATCAATATTAAGCTAATAAATTAACAAATTAATATAAAATTAAAAAAAAAAACATACGTACTTAATCAGAGAGATTAAGAGAGAAACTAGATTATTGTTTTTTTGTTCAATCCTCAAATATGTATACAAGTTCTTAGTTTCAACCCAAAGAGTACTTCTAAATTAAAAGGAATTAAAGAAAAAATTGTAAGTTTCTTGTTGGTTGAGACGGATTGAACATCAGGTTGAAGGAATAAGACACAAAAAACTGGAAATTTTAAGGATAAATTATGAGAATTCTTGACTTTTAACATAATTTGAGACAACATTATTGAAGAAAAAGAATATCTAAATTTTGAATTCCAAACATCCTTGTAGCCAATTGGAGTGATCTATAGGAATGTCTTATAAAATTGGCAACTTTTTAATTCTTTAGGAAAATTCCTTGCAATTCCAAATTTCTTTTTCTTTTCAAAGTTTTGTAAACCAATTGAAACACAAAGAGATTAAAAAATCTGGACCCAAACAAAATTAAAAAAAATTAAAAATTTTATTCATAAGATCAAATTGTTAGGTATAAAAACAC